GGGGGGAAGGGGGGGGGGGGTGGGGGGGGGGGGGCGCAGCGATAACGCGGGCCGCGCCGCGGAGTTCGCGGGCCAAGCGATCGAGCTAGACGCCACGGTGAGAAACGCCCGCCGTCTGTTGATCTCTCATGTTTCGGAGACCTGGTTTTCGTCGTTACAATGTTGGGATGCTTTTCTCGGGTAGCGACGGATGGGCTGGCTGCCCACGGCAGACGGGTGCATCCTATCCCACGAGGTGCCGACCCCTCAACCTGATTGACGCTTGTGTACAACAGTAAATGTGTTCCTCATGCACAAGAGCACTAGGTGCGTTAGTGTTTTAGGGTTCCATCAGCAGCACGCAGAAAGACGAACCTGAAACAGCAATATAATAGTAGAGTGTACACAAACTCAAGAGGTTAAGCTACGGCTTGTGGGCTGGTACCCAGCAACACCTTATCGCGATGTGCGGATACCTGACTTACAGCACGTGTCCCGCAGCGAAGCTAGTTCTGTGCTCCACATGTACCCACATTATTGCGGAGACCGCGGCAATGTTAAGGCCGAAGGTTTTTCACCTCTGACGGAAATTTACGAAAGCGCGGGTGCTGTCGTCGGTCGCTTCTAGCACTCCCTACCCCCCCTTCGGCATGCCGTGAATCCCCCTCTTTCCTGGGCTGGGCTGGCGGAACACCCGATTTTCGGTCGTGCGGTAGTGCGCAAAAGCGTGGTTTTGGAGGGGCAAAGCGAAGATGGACGCCGGAGACCTGGAAGGGAGCTCCACCGATTTGCAAGAGGTGAACGATCGAGAGGTTACAGCAGGAAGAGGGGGGAGAACGCGATAGATAGTTTCGTTTTACGTCAAGGTTGTTTGGAGTGCGGCATACTTTCTGTTGCCCTGAGCACGCGAGAAGGAATCGCCGCCTACCATTCACATAGAGCCAGCACGATATTTGGCGCTTCGTACACCCGGCTGTTGCACGGTAGCAATTGCGCGGGAAAAGTTTCGGAAACACAGGGAGGAATGGCAGAGGAGTAGCTCTAATGATTTGATAAGCAACGTCCCACCACCCACCGTCCTCGCAAAACGCCCCGGATCTCCATGCCGCCCATTTTCCCCGACCATTACGCACCACCAACACGCAGGCCGCCAAGCTAGCACCTGGGGACAAGCCGGTCAGGTTAGCCCTGAAAAGCTTGCGCATCAAGCAGAAAGAGGTGGAAGCCGCGCGGCGGAGTCTCTGGGGAGGCGTGTTCAAGAGAGGCGCTGCGAAGACCACGGCCCCGGGGAGACGGCAAGTGGAAGAGGCGGCTGCGCGGGCCAGAGGGGAGCGTCTGCAAGACCCGGGGAGGGGGGGGGGGGGTGACCGGCGAGGGGGCGTCGGGGGGGACAGATTGTTGTACGCTTCGATCGCGGTTGGGTTGGTCGCGTTTGCTGTTGCGGGCTTCGCCGCTGCCAAGTACGCGTAGTCGCTCCCCGTGTCGTAGATGCCCCAAGGGCACGGTGGTTTGGAGTGTCGTTTCCTTGTACGCACGTGTATGCCGAAATTGGTCGTACACATGATGGAAGAACTGTCCATATTGCGGGAGCCGGGGACGAGGCCATCGTGTGAAGGCAGAGAGCAATGAAAGGGTGTCTCTGCGAGCACCTCGGGTTGTCGAAGGCGATGGTTTCAACGGTACACGCAACGTGAGCCAGATTCGACTTTGGTTTGGCTGCGACTGGAAAGAGCCTCCTTGGAAAGGTTGCGTCGCCGCGTGGATAAGAAGGCGAGGCCAATGTTGTCGAAAATCGTAGCAAATGACGTTTTTTTCCTGCGGTTCCTGGTTCCCCTTTCCTCCTTGTCGTTGCGCACCCACTCGCTCGGTAGAGACGCCTAGCCGACGATAACTATGGCGGCAAGAGACGTGCGCCACGTTCAAGTGGTCAGGGTCTACGTGAAGTGCTAATGAGGCTTGTAATTTCGTTCGTTTCGCCTTTCTCCCCATTCCACCGACAGACCAGGCAGGTTTTGTAGGCGTGCAACAAGATGAGAGATTTTGCGTGTTCGCAAAGTTGACCCGCAACACCCGAGAAACAAACTTTAGAAACAACGCCACGGGTGGCCTATGTTCCTTTCCAGCTTTGGGGTCGAAGGTGGCCTACTTACCATGGACTTGCAGCAAGCACGCAAGCTTTGGCAAAGTTTCCAGCTCGTTTGACCCCAAGCACAAGCGTACGACGGGTTATCCCCTCCCACGGTTTCCTTGCGTAGATGCTATTAGGATGGATCTCTAGCGTGTTCTTGTTGCGTTCTATCTGTCGCGGCTAACTGAAGGCTATCCCGTCAAATCTGTAGACAAGGCCGCGCACGCCTTGCCCTTTGGACCTCAACGACGACGTACAAACGAAATGGTTGTCGCTGATGATTGATCTCTCTTGTGTCCCTAAAAACTTCAAAACCCCGCGAACAACCCATCGGGATCGACATCCGTGGCACTTATGCCCGTGTGTTCTGCGTCCAAGTGTTCGAGCTCCCCTAGATCCTTTCGAAACGCCGGGGGCTCGGTATCCAGCTGGCGTTTTGGGTGGGGATCAGCGAGGAAGGAAGGACAAACGAAGCACCATCGTCAGAAGCGTCATCTTGCTAAGTTTGGCACCAAGAGGTTTTTTTCTGCAAAAACACATGCTTGGACGACATGGTTGCTTAGGACGAGCCAGCAGCTGTGGTAACACTGTTGTTCCTTTTTTCCGGCCGCCGCTTTGGTCCCAACATCTCTCGAGCACATGTTTTCGGATCTTAGTATGGCGGTATGGTGTTGGTTCATACGAAGGAGGGCCGTTGACCTGGCACCCCCACCTACCTTGGTGGTCCTCTCCCAATCCACACCTGCGAACCATGCGTGGGACATAACTTCCTGGGCGTCCCTCGAGAAGCCAAGGCGCTGTTGGGGATCGGTGTCGAGTAGCCGCCTGCGGCGCCGAACAAGAGGTCAGATGGGACGAAGAGGAGGGAGGTCCGTGAGGGCGAGGGGCCCAGGGCTGTCCTGAGGGCTTCGAGTCGGCTCCTCTACCCCAACCCCGACCTAAAGCACGCAACAAGTTCACGGCCGGTCCTCAGTAGTAGAGGCCATCAACGAAATGGGTGCACGCAAGTCCGCACCTCACAATTGGCAAGACCTTTGGTTCATCAACATTTCGATAGTCCTTGTCTTCCCGTTCGCCCGATTCCGGGGATGTATCTCTCGGCAAACCCGCCGTGATTCTCTGCGTCAAATCGTCCCCTCCGTATCCGAAAGGCGGCTCGCCGTTCACCATCTCGTGCACAAGGATTCCCAATGCCCTGCGTGCGGCGGCGGGAATCGAATAGAGCCAAAGCTCAAGTCCTTGGGAACGAATAGAACTGAGGGATTACGTTGCAATACACGAGTCCCCCGGAAGTGGTGGAGTCAGGTCAGCACGAGCAGCACGTTTTCCCAACCGAGGGCGGAAATCGAATCCAATCACACTACAAGCGGGCGGAGCGAGGAACACAAAGAAGCCGTCGCCACCCAAGAATACAATTTGGTAGTCATGCCGCACAATCTACAGCATCAGTAGGGTCCTCGACATTGGTCATGGTTAACCGCACTCACCACCAATCCGCGGCCATCCCGTGCCCTTCCCGTGACACCATCTCTGGAGCCATGCTGTGAGGTGTCCCGCAATAGGTGTACGTTTTCTGAAAAGAAAAGCCACCAGTGGCACCTACGTCGCCATCTTTACAACCCCCTGTTTGCCTTTCCAGCTGCTTCGAGCACCCCAGGTCGACTATTTTGACGTGTCCGCTAGCACTGAACACGATGTTGCTCGCCTTCAAGTCGCGATGGACGAATCCGTGAGAGTGCATATGTGCTATTGCTGAAGTTATTTCAGATGCATAGAATATCGCTGCGGGCACCTGCCAAGAGGAAGCAATCCAGGTATCTTTCGGTCAGAAGAAGATCGGTCAACAAGAAATGAGAATGAAGAACACATCTCGCTGTACCTTAATGCATAGTTTCGAACTTGTTCGTATAGCTACGACTAGCGAATCACCCCATGCCCCCCCGTTGTAATCGAAGCCCTTTGGATACGCAGTAGGATCAGAGTGGTGTTCCTGTTACTTTGAGCATTCCGCTCAAGGAAATTGGTACGTTTAATGTTCCACCATTCACAATGCTCGTTTAGCTACTGCAGTGGATTCGGCAGCAGACCTTTGCATCACTTGATAACCCAAATGCAACATCTATGGAAGCCCTCTACTCTGGCTGAGCAGAGAGTCCGAGAGTGTGGTGGCTATGTCCTGCCACCGGAGGTTGGCTATTTCCTTTGGTGCGCTGTGGCGAGGAATGCCAAGCGTGACCGAGCGAACTCAGTCAAGCTAGGGTGGCGAGGAGAGTGGGCGAGCCTTCGTGGACCCTTTTCCCATTCTCCTAAAGATTCATCAACTCTTCGCAGCCGTTGGGAATCGTAAGAGTCATAGACCCTCGAAGAACGGTAATCTATTATCACATATCCTCTCAGATCCTACTCTTTATGTACGTGTATCTGTGCTCCCTGAATCTCCATATCCTGACCTCCACATAGCCCCCCTTTTTCTTCGCCGAAAGCTCAGCTTGTGGAAGTTGGGTTTTGGCGCGCATGCATGTTTGCATGTTAATTGTAGTGGAGCAGGTATGGATGTATCATTGGATCCAGATACAGCTTTTCGAAAATTAAATATCTCCCTCACTATCCGAAGACAGCTGACAGTGCCGTGTGGAAAACACACGTGTTGAAAGCAACACCGTACGGATTTAATCTCTCCAAGGCTCGTACAAGCTACCAGTTATTGATGTCAATCAATGATGATATGTCAAAGTTTATTCTTGTTAAGTATCAAGAATTTGTACTTTGTGCGGGTTCTGGTTCGCGTAACCATACCGCTGGGTGTAAGCAATCGTTTTGCTTATTGAGTACGATAGGCATACGGTGTTCGACAGTCTAAAGACTGTTTCCGTGACTCACGTAGTGTCATCGAGTTGCGACCCTCAATTTCACTAGAGACCGGTTAACTTGACATTTCCTCGCCAGCATTTGACCCAATCAAATGCTGGATAGCAACCTTATTGTTTGGATGCTATTCCTTTCACCGTTTAGACACTTTGGAAATGTATCTTTTGTTTGCCTTCGGACTTCGTTTACTTTTCCGCTGAGCACTTTCCTTGTTCACGCATTTTGTTGGCTTAGTACATGCCTTGGTTGGCTTTGCTTTGTGCCTTGCGCGTTTGTTTGTACTCGGATCCCTACCTTCGTCACGTTTGCGCTTCGCAATTTTCTGCGGCGCTTCAGACGATTTCTTGGCGGGCGCGATGTCCAGATCATGTTTTGATCGGTATGCGGAAATCATTTCGTGGCATTGCGGCACTTCGTCGGCACGATACATCAGATCTGATTCAGGACCGTATCCTTTCAGTCTTAGACGATATCGATAGTTGTGCGGACCTTTTCGGCCTTGACCACTTCGATGCCCTACCACTTTCAGTACGACGCATCTTTCAATTTTCGGTTGATTTTCGTCGTTTGCTGTCAGGGCAGGTAAGGGAATTTGTTTCCCAAGGAAATATTCAGCCAGTTTTTCAAACTGTGGTGCTGGTGGTTTTTCCTTAATGGTACTGTTTTAGATGGGCAAGGTGCACGGATATTTTTCTCGTGTTTCATTTACTCGCTGCACCCTATACACAACCGGTGACAGTTGTGAACAGATGACATACGGTCCTCGCCACGGTAAGAACAGCTTCGGATTTGGCCCATCTGAATCCTGGTGTGGTCGGTATACTAGTACTTGTTGACCAGGTTTAAAGACGGGGTACTGCGGTAACTTTTCGTTTTTCGCAGCTTGCTTCTCTGCACGTTCCGTTAGGTTTCTTCGCGCTAGTTCGAAAGCAATTTGTAGATTTTCTCGTGTGTTTTGAGCAAAACTCTCGGTATCTGCAGTTGAACCTACATGTGGGATTCCGAGAATTACATCTACCGGTAACCGTGCTTGGCGACCAAACATCAAGAAGTACGGTGTCTCATGCATGGTTTTATTAAACGACGTATTATACGCTAGTTGAACCATTGGCAAGAGTTCCGCCCAGTTGTCACAATCCATGGAACTATGCATTGCGAGCATGGAATGCATCGTTGAATGCACACGCTCAGAGACCGAATTACCTTGCGGACGATACGGCGTCGTGCGTGTTTTCTTGTAGCCCAAGATTGTTTGCAACTGATAGATGATCTTGTTTTCAAATTCAGTGCCTTGATCAGAGTGTAGCATTTCTGGCGGGCCAAAGATACTGATAATCCGATCAATGATTACACGTGCTATGGTTTCAGCAGTTTTGTTCGGAACTGGTGTGAGAATTGCATAACGCGTTAAGTGATCCATCATGGAAAGCACGTATTTACATCTCATTCCGACTGCTGATGTTGAGAGCGATTTGTACTCGACTAGGTCGACTGATACTCTTTCAAATGGCCGCTGTACAGGTACATGACCTGTCGGCAGTTTCGGACGGCGGTGGGGTGTCTTTCTCCGTTGACAGGCCAGGCATTCTAGGCACCAAGTCCGTATGTCACGGTTCATTGACTGCCACCAATATTTTTGTCGTATTTTTTCGTACGTTGGACGAAATGCAAGATGTCCACCCGAAAGAGCGTGATCATGGTATGCGTGCATCACTAAACCTGTGAGGTCATGTGGGACTACAAGTTGATTACTAAAAGTGCTTCGTTTTCGTAGGTGTCCTGGCAGATACGATTTAAATAGTAATCCGTCTTGTATGGAATAGTACGACATTGATGTTGCCGTTTCGTTATCTAGTAGCCGTGCTTTGGCGTCTAAAATGTATTGGACATATTCGCCGTATTCTTCGGCTTGTTTCTCGCGCAATTTCTCATGATCAACAGATTCAAATACTTTCATGGCGCTGACGAAATTTGAATTGACTGTGAACAGTTCCCTATCACTAAGGACTGGTTGCACATCGTCCAATTTGTCAATCGAGACTTGGTATGGTCTGTTTGGCATGTGTTGTTGCAGCTTTGGGTCGTCCGGTACATTTCGGCAAATCGGTGCAAGATTCGGCGCAGTTCGTTCTTGTTCATTTTCAAACACGAAAAGTCGCGATAACGTATCCGGCACTACATGCAACTTTCCCGGTTTATGTTTTACCGTGAAATCGAAGGATTGCAGTGCTATTGCCCATCTGGTGAGCATATTTGACGTGTCTTGCATCGTGTAAAGATATCGCAATGCCGCATGATCAGTCACGCACGTAAAATGTCTACCCCATAAATAAGGACGCCAGTGTTGAATTGCTAGAACAACAGCGTAGCATTCTTTCATGGTGGCAGAGTAGTGTTGTTGGCTTTTGTTGAATCGCTGGCTAAAGTACGCTATGATATTCACGTCATCGCCATTCTGTTGTGCCAGGAATGCTGCTCCCACCTCAGATGCGTCGACATGGATAACAAACTCCTTAGAAAAGTCCGGAAAATGCAAAACAGGGGCGTTGGTGAGTAAGCGTTTCAGATCAGCAAATGCTTCATCATGTTTCGGACCCCAGCGTTTCGCTACCGACTTCACTGCGTCTTTCTTCGTAAGGTCAACCATTGGTGCGGTAACGGCGGCTAAGTCTGGGACGAATTTCCTGACATAGTTAACCGTTCCTAAGACTGATCGCAAACTTTTGATGTTCGTTGGCGTTGGCAACTCTAGTATCGATTTTATCCTATCGTCACCTAATCGTATGCCATCTGCGGAAAGAACATGCCCCAAATACTTCACTTCCTTTGGCCCAAATTGTACCTTTGATGGTTTTAATAGACCTGCGGCTTGTAGCGCTTGAAAGGTATTTTCCAAAAGAGAGATATGACCCTCCCATGTAGATGAACAACAAATAAGATCATCCATGTACACAAGAAGACCAGACTTTGGACCAAAATGTGCGAAAGTCAATGCCATCGTACGTTGAAACAGAAAAGGCGCATTGGCGATGCCAAAGGGGAGTCGTTTGAAAACCCATTTTCCATCCCGAGTAACGAATGCAGTGTTGTCTTGTTCTGCTTCGGCAATTGGTATTTGGTGGTATGCACTTTGTACATCGCAGACTGTGATGTATTTAGCACCTGCTACGGTGTCAATATGACTTGCCATTTCAGGCATTGGCCACGATTTACGAATTAAATTCTTGTTGATCGTCGCTCTGTAGTCTACACAGAATCGGGGACTGCCGTCAGCTTTTGCTACCAACGTTACTGCTGACCCCCATGGGCTCGCTCTTTGTTCGATTATCCCGGCTTCTTCCATTTCACCAACACATTTGTCAATGACCTCTTGCATTCGTGGATTAGCACGATATGGAGCTCGGTTGACTGGTTTTGTCCCCGGTTGTATTGGAAAATCAGCCTCTGTAAGAGTACATTTGCCCAGTTCTTTAGGACTCAGGGAGAACACTGAACGGTATTTGGTACACAGTTTAAGCATTTCTTCACACTGGTCGGGCGAAAAAGTTGTATCTCGGAAAGCTTTGGCTAATGCTCTTGTGAGATCTGCACGAATTTTTTCCGTTTCTGCAGGACTCGATTGAACGCTGCTCATTGTTTGCGGCAGTACTGTTTTCACTGGAGAAATATAGCCTATGAGCGTATTCCTCTTTAGGGATACCGGTCTGTGAGAAGGGTTGGCCAGTTGGACCATTGCACTTTTGTTGTGTTTATACCAGTGACAGACCGTGCGTGCCACTATCACTCTGCGGAATGCATCTGGTGTATCCTGCTTGCCCACGTCATCGGACGTAACGATGCGCGGTTCAACTACGGCAGCTGTGGTTTCATCTGGTGCCTCAAGCGAATGAATTTCAACAGCTATCTCATGTTGTGCAGGTATGCTGCATTTCCTTGTACAGGCATCACAGGCGTGTCCCTCTCTACTGCTACCACAGAACAGTTCAAACTGTTTCCCTGATCAGTCGTGGGATAGCGCGTTTTGCGGTGGACTGCTGGAATTTTGGTTGCTGTTGTTTTAAACGACAGTTCTTCCGCTTGCCAGTCAAGCACACCACCAAATGCGTCCATTATGCTATTGTCGAGTAGCATATTATCTGGTCCCAACGACGGCAGCACTAGAGCTTCAACAGGTAATGTGATTTCGCCTAGTGTCAGTTCAAATCGAGTGTACCCTGCAATTTTTAGGGGCGAACCATCAGCGCTTCGCAGATTGATTGCTCCAGGGGGTACCGGAAATATGTCCGTGTTTTTTAACGTTTTGTGACTTCTCATGAACTTCCGTGATATGCATGGTATGTCACATGCCGTGTCGATTGTTATTTCGTCAACCGATTCATTATTTATTCTGGCGGGTACACGTACTCGCTTGGATGTCGATCGCAATACCGATGGACACACGGGATATCCAGCGAGTGCAGACATGTAAAAAGCTTGGAATTCTTCATTACGGTCAGTTCTCATTAGGTTGGACCTATGTTTCGACCTGAAGTCCCCAGCTACGGTAGCTACGTGCAAGGCTTGCGGCGCTAGACAGGCGGCTACTTGCCCTACTTGGGTGCTATCCCTTAGTGCTGGATCTACAGAGGCTACTGCATCAGTTGTGCTGGTACTCGACTTCGGAACCCCTCGCGTCTGCTTGTTGCTACAACCTTCGCGAGAATATTCTCGTGGTACATGTACTTCAACTGTCTTGCTACAGCGTTGCTCTCTGACTGCTTTCTTCTTTTTTCCCACCAGAGATCGTACACCATTTTTACAGTGTTTTGAATCCCTCTCATCTACTTTGGCTCTCTTCTGCTTGCTCTTACTTTGCAGTCTATCCCAGTTTGTACATACTGGTTTGACAGAACCAAATGATTGGTGTCCCACGTTGGCCGAAGGACGCTGCCTACTCGGGCGACCCTAGTCTTTGGTAACTTTGTACCCCTCTTTCTTGGTTGCCTCTTCGTTGTTACATTCCGCGCGGTTGTGCGTGAAGCGAATGTTACTGAATCGACAGCCAATAAAGTCACATTCTTTGCGAGTGTTGTCGTTGTCGGATTTGGTATTCCCGGCAAACGATACTCTCGTTTTCGCCCGCGCGGGAGGGCCCCGGGATTTGGAGCTGTCTCGATCCCGTTTATCGGTCCCCCGCTGAGGACGCCCACCGCGTTGTGTGCTGTAGGCTCCACCACTGGACACGAATGCCTCCTGCCCGGAAATATAATTTTCCAGTGCAGAAATACGGTCGCGATTGTCCTGCGCAGTCGTTTGGAGCTGCCCGGAACGAGCAGAACCGTACACGGTGGAAGCGGTAGCCGAGATGGGGGCAGGGGGCGAGCGCAGTTTGTTGGACTCGTGTCGACGAGCACGCGCTTTCGATTCCATGAAAGAATCGGATGGATCTACCCGCATCATCTCTACGCGGATGTGTGGGTGTACACCGTTTTCGAAAGAGGCGGTGAGAGCTTGGTTGAATGCGTGTTCATGAGGTGGTACATTCAGCGGAGCTGTGCGTTCGGCTTCGGCTAGACGTCTGGCATACGCGCGTGATACTCGGAGCGCGAACACGTCAACTGATTCGCTACTTTTTGCTTCTAATGTCATGACATCACGCGCAAGAAGAGCAATTCGGTTGGCGGGAGCGAACGATGTGGTGAAAGCCGTGACCCACTCCTTCCATGTTTTCGGAGGTGTGATGCGGACCACTTCTCCACGTGCACGCAACGCATTTAGCTGAGCTGGCGGTCGCCATTCGAGAGATGAGCTAAGCATGAGGCTGAGGCTTTGAGCTGCTGCACCTCGCACGAATAGCGCGAGATGTTTGATTGCGCGGTGATCGATTGTACTTTGAGAGACGTTGTCGGCTGACAATAGACCGATGTGTGCCCTGTAAAGTGCCATTTTTTCCGGAACATCTTCATGAGGCAGACCCTCGAGCTTGAGATCAGGAGGTAGGTCATTGGCTTTCAAAGTAAACCGTGCCGTGCTAATCACGTCCTGGTTGACCGTGGGTGGGTTTACCGGGGTAGGGTTGTCCTGGTTTACCGTTTGCTGGTTTACCTGGTTCGGTGAGGCCTGGTTTACCGTGTTTTGGTGTACCGGGTTAATAGATGAATTTGTCGGTGTAGACACATTCATATTCTGAGCAGGGGTCTGTTGAACACTTACTGTCGTGCGCATACCAGAACGATTTTCTGCATCTAGATCTGAGGCAAGCGAACGCGGATTCACCTTCCGGATGTCGTGCTGGTGGACGGCTCCCGGCATGAGCATGCTGAGGACCCATGCCGGCGGGGCCTTATCCGCCTCCACTGCCTTTGTGACCGCTCCAACGCTTCGTCGACGCCAATATGGAAGCCCTCTACTCTGGCTGAGCAGAGAGTTCGAGAGTGTGGTGGCTATGTCCTGCCACCGGAGGTTGGCTATTTCCTTCGGTGCAATGTGGCGAGGAATGCCAAGCGTGACCGAGCGAACTCAGTCAAGCTAGGGTGGTGAGGAGAGTGGGCGAGCCTTCGTGGACCCTTTTCCCATTCTCCTAAAGATTCATCAACTCTTCGCAGCCGTTGGGAATCGTAAGAGTCATAGACCCTCGAAGAACGGTAATCTATTATCACATATCCTCTCAGATCCTACTCTTTATGTACGTGTATCTGTGCTCCCTGAATCTCCATATCCTGACCTCCACACATCTGCGAAAAAATCTAGCCCAGATAATCGAGATATTATCATCCCGTCCAGGCTAGGTAAGCGTGTGCGTGTTCGTCCCATGCATCTGGCATTCTGGCGCCAATCTGCACCTTTCGGTGTACGTGTATGATGTATCAGCCGGGGTCACACAGGCGGGGTCACACAGGAGCCCCAGATACATGCAATCGATAAAAGTGTAAATGCCCGTGTGCTCACCTCCAAATGACCCCTTGGCCCCGCCCGAATGTGACGATGTAGAGGACCTCCAAGAAGTGGCTCTAGAACAAAATACAGATGTTCGTCATCTTTTGATGTGTAGCGAAGATCCACGATTCCTTGATGCTGGTAGGAAGTCGAGATCGAACAAAGTACATCACCGAGAGGATTTGCAACGTGTCCTTGCGAAGTGGCCGATCAACGGTATTTATTCTGGGCCCGAACAGAGCAGCTGAAGTTCATATACTTCGTATTTCCTCAACGCCCCCGAACGCACCGTGTCCTAATCAGGCCGTCGTGAAAGGTTTCTTCACTTCGTCTTATTCGGATTTGCTCGCCTCAGACAGCTCATCACATACATGTGTAACGATACCGCTCACTGTACTAATATCGTGTACAGTGTTCACGCGCGGTCGCATATCTTTGATCCTGCACCTGTGTGCGCGCCTTTTATCCACTGTAGAACCTACAGCAGTAGTCTCCGTCAGCACAACCGCGGCACATGCGTGCCAGAAACGAGGGAAAGATCAATCCGGTACTAACTACCGTATTCGCCCTGACTGCTGTGGTGAGATTTGAGGATTTTGGAAGCAGATCTGTAAGTCTCGACTGGGCAACTCACTACCGAAGCGGAGATCGACATTTTCGTAACCCCTACATTTGTTTGTAGTCTACAACATAGCGCGCACAGGCTTGGTTCACCCACCCCTCTGAGATCCTGAAGCGCTTTCTTCTCCTGTAGAACCTGCCGGATGGCTCCGTTGTTTTTCACGCACTGTCGACGAACTCGCTTAACAGCTTGGAACACGTGATGTTGGTGCTCGCCGCAACGTCGCTCTTCGTTTGGTGCGCTTGATAAAATCGGCTCGATGCAGAGCGCCACACTGCCCGTCCGTCCGCTGCCCAGCTCTACGATTTTACGCCAGCTGCCAATGTCAGCTTCTCCCCTGGTCCCCATTCGAATATCCGAACGCAAAAGCCCCGCGGTGACGTGGGGCGTGAGGTTGCGCGCGCTCGTGTGCTCATGTATCGCGTGTCGGGCGCCAACAATTTCAGATTTGGTTCAGTTCACAAACCTTCCGAATCGGTATGGATTGCACCGCATGTAACTGCTCGCGGCCCACCGAACGTGATTACGTAATCACTCCCGCGCGAAGGCGCTGTTCGCTGTGGGACCGACGGCAGTGCTTTACCTAGGAATCGAGGCCACCACAGCGCAGCTCAGCTACCGCTTGCAAAATGTTGGCAAAGCACAAGGTGCGTGGTTGTAGGGACGTGCTCGCAGCAGCTGGGTGTGGCAACTGTTATACTGTAAGGCACTCGCGATGTTGTACCGGACATGCAGCGCTTGGTGACAACCCGGTCCCGAGAGCTAGGTGTGGTGAGGCACATAAAGGAGTGAACAACATTTCTTGGTCGCTGACTTCACTCCGAGCGAAATCGCCCCTGACACACTGAGTCACTCGTGGGCTGGGACGTGTACAGCTGCGTATATGATACAGGTAGGAATGCTGCTATTATTTGTGCAAGTCACGTCAACATATGCATATCAAACAGCAGCTCTAGCCGTACAGGATTAACGTTCTTCTTAATCAACGTTCAGAAGGTCATTGTCATATGTTGCGCACACCAGCCCTAAAATACAGCTGAGTTCGACCTACTGCTGTGGTGGGCGAAAGGGGGTTGCTTGTACACCACGATGTGGTCTAGACTGCTGTTGTGTTAACATTTCGTACATTATGCTGCAAGTCACCGAATAGGTTAACTCCTGTTGTTTCCATGAAGTTTAAAAGCCATCTGGTGCCTCGAACCCACCCAAAAACAAAGATAAAGTGGGCAATCATGAACGCGGGCGAGGAAATGCCTTCGCCACGGGCAACAAAACGATTCGAGACCACATCGCTCGCCGGAACGGAGTACGTCGCGTCCCGTCGAGGGGAGGTACGAGCTATTTTATGAATGTGATAGGGAGAGAAATAATCGTGTTAACGTATCGCGTCCTAACCTATGCATATCATGAACTATGGGTAGGTGCTCGACGTTTCCAATATAGTCTATATCAGATTCTCGGTTGTAGGGCGATGCCCTTACTGTAGTACGGAACAACTGCGGCCAAACGAACTCTTGTGTTGTACAGTAATCCACACGGTACGCAAATGACTCTTCTTCTGTCAACTTTCTCGTTCATGGGATGCTACTGTAAATCATTGTTGAGTACATCACGCTCTTCTGCCAAAACGAGTTCCAGGACACACGGTACATACAGGTACCAGTATCCCAAGGACCAGCGGGACTGAGGAATCCCACACATCAAACCTGGAGCGTAGGGTCCATAATCGCTTGTTTCACTGCATTTTTTGCGTTGGACATGGATTTTTTTTCACGAGCAATTGATGCTCAGTAACGGGACCTACGTTAGTATACGGACGTTGTGGTCTTTGCCTCCAACTTCAAGACAAGCTCGGCGTTCTCGGCAACTCTTTTGTCTCAGACACCGTAGTAATACCACCATGAAACTTGATGTCCAGGTACCAGACCGAGGTACCATGATAAGGGAGTTGGAGCAGCGAAAACTTCGCAACACCCAGGCTTCTGTGGCTTTTGGATCGGCAAAGGTAGGCAAAATGTGTGATATCCCTAGAGTCATGGTTGCGTCGTTGTGGAACTTAAAGAAAGTGCTGTTTGGACCATAAATACCGCCTCTTCATTTGACTGTGAAGAGATATGCGTACAACACGTCACCAGACACACATAACCAAAAGAACAAAGCCAGCCATTTCATTGCCTACATCTACGAGTTTCTATGCACGAATGCCTTACAACAAAGCTGTGGGGCAATCAACGGGTGGCCACACACTGGATTATACGCAGACGAGGCCCCCTGTCGGCCGGCAAGTTTCGGGTTACTCAGAAGACCGTATGAAGGCAAGGCTTCGAAAGTACTGGGTCGCCAACGTAATGGTACCAAGCGATGGTTGGCATGTCGCCCTCGCTGATCTCTAAATTATGGATCCATCTCCGCGAGGCGAAAGCTTGAAACAGATGAGAAGGCACAGATCTTAATGCTCACACGATGCAGGCTCTAGGCGTACCCTTGGGATTGCCGAGACGACGATGATGCCACCCAAACCTTTCACATACACATACGTAATGGAGTATCATGCCGACTTCGTTGTCATAATGAGCGGTTGTAGCAATCCCGTTCGCCGTTCATGCGACTCACCAATGCCTCGTGCGCGGTACGTGTCTAGACTCCATACATTGGATGCGTTGCGGTTTGCAGGGTTACAAGGAGATACGGTGTTGATTGTACGCTTGGGTCATGCGAATGGATGGTCAGGTCTGCCTCCCCCCCCCCCTCGTCCATCGATAGTGTTCCAACCGTTTAAACACGTCACCAAAACTTGCCTGCCCCCAACACACACATGCAAGATATTGTACGAAAGCGATGCCATGAGCCGACAAAAAGATATTCTGGGGGCGCCGCCGAGAGGCGAAGACGAGAAGCGCAACAAGGAGCTCAAGCAAGCGTTAACCAGGACACACTTCACCTTTGGGGAAGAGCCGATGGTGTACGAGCGAACAAGTACGCTGCCGGACCCTACAGGGCACCTGGATGACTACACGGGGGTTCTCAACACTGAGGTGTGTTTTTGTGCTGCTGTCGTAAGAAGAGTTGGTCACCTATGTTTCGGCCATCAACGCCTCGTCGTGTTGTGTATCTTGGCTCATAAACACGTGTTAGTATCCCCTTGTTCAGAAGCATGGAATTTGGAACGGGCGGCAACGGCAAACGTCCATATTCTACAAATTGTTGCGGCATTTTCCAGCTGTGCAGAGTTTAACAATCATCCCAGTAAAACAACAGAGGTGGCTTCAGGGGGCGCAGGGTTGGAGGGTTTTCCCAACAACAGTCCTAGGCAGGTTGATCTTTCGCAAGAGAAGAAATCAACTCCGAGGGGTGGGTTCGAAGAACACAAAAGTCTGTAGTTATAGTCCCCCTTGTCGATGCGTTAGTGCGGCGAGGTACAATTTGATGTCAGTTGAGCGGGCAATCATCTCAAGCAGAAGATCTTGTTGGCCAATCAAACTATGTATGTACCATGTTCAAACCCTCACTCAACCAACCATCCTTCACTCCTGACAGGTGAAGAATATGATCAAGAGCACAAATCTATCGTTTGGCAACGCCCCGACGGTGTACAGGACGATGGCCACCGACCAGATGGACCTGCAGGTGCCCCAGGGGGAAGACAGGGGGGTCCAGCTCGAGAAGAACCGCCAGCTAAAGGTGAACGAGTAGTCGTTTATAGGAGGAATCGTTCGGCTGTTTCCGAGGGTCAACCGGCCGTAGTCCTGGCTGTGGGTACGAGAGATTTCTTTCTACTGTGTTGATTTTTTCGAGGGTAGTGTACGACAGAAACCCATAAAGGTGCGAACGCTTCTTGCAGAATATTGCCGATTTTTTCCGGGTGGCTTCTCCGCTTCAACTCAAACACCCAGGTGGCCCTCACTCGAACACATTTCAAGTTTGGTGAGGAAGAGATGGACTACACCACGGATCACCAGATGGGGTTCCAATACGACCCAGAAAAGGTATTTGTACCTCATACAGAGATTCAAGCTGCGCTCATGTTGCAGGCGTGTTCCTGCCATTGCCAAAGAACCGATGACTCGGCGGATGAAGAGGACAAGGGTATCGTTGGTCGTAGTTGTAACTAGAGCGCTCATATTGTCCCTAAAATGAAGTTATTCGCGTCCTTGCGTACTTTGATGTATCAACAACCATCAAATTATCATATATTGCGGCAGATCTTAACGAAAAGACGAAAAGGATCAGCCGCAGACTCATCACGAAGGGTGTTTTGGTAAAGCTGCTGCACACACCAAGCGGTTCACGAGTCTGGGCTCGGCGTGGTGTTGTTTCGGCCTTTGCACAAGGTTGCGCTCGTCCTCACCTACCTGCATCCCCACTTTCTCCACCCACTACTGTACACGTTTACTTGGTCCATGTTTAGTTGCCGTACGGTGATAACTCGAGAAACAGCATGCCATTCGTTGCCTTTGATCATGCTTTACGACGGAGCGCACACTCAACATCAACCAATGCGTCATACGTGCCAGGTAAAATTAGCGGGAAACAGGGGACTTGCCAAGGAGGTCAAGGCGGACCTATCGCGGACTCATTTCACCCTGGGGAACCACAAATTTGACTGGCAAACGGACGCAATGAGGACACAAGTGAGCTTGTTTTCATCTATGCGATTCTCTTCTGTGGCCAACTTTACCCACATTTACTGATAGCCACCGACTACGGAAAGCGATGTCATCAGTCTGGAGCCACATATCCTTCAGAAGCTCTTTGCCAGGTGGTGCTCAATCCCAAAATATGTCCTGAGTTGTAACGGCTGCGCTGATGTTGCGACTTGTCTCCATGCCTGAACACATGCTTACGTTTAGTCGGAGTTCTTCGCAGAGATTATTTTTCCCTGCCCTCACTCAATGTCAACCACGTGTCGATCCTCCTTCAACCGTTGGTAGGCTTATCGTAGACTCTGCTCTTTAGGGATCACGCGTACTTTGGGCTGAGCTGGAAAGGTTTCCGAGTAATGAACACGGTTTGTTTCCCCGGGAATGATTTGCCACACGCTATCGTCTATTCAGTTCACTTCTAAGCGTTCCTGCGGAGTTTAGTGTTGGCCAGTCCCTCAAATGTGGGGATCCACTTGATATTTTGAGTTGGGGGCATCTCGTGGGGTGTACGCGCGACTTTGTCCAACATGGTATTGAGGTGAAGGCTCAGCACCTGTTAGACAAGGAACGGTTGTCCACATGTCCCCAAAGCCTCTAGCTAGGGCATTCATTCAAATGGCGTACCAGTTGTGAACGATTGATGGCGCATGTTGTTTCGCTGCCGCGTTATTTGTCTCTGAAATGCAAGGATCTAGGTGGGGTTAGTGAAGGGGTGTCGCTCCAAGCTAACCTTCCTTCTCGTCCTACTGCCCCACCCCCGGTTCCCGACTCTGCCGCTGTGGGATTCCCCTCCTCATGGATCATGCGCATTGGGCACTGAACCACGCCCCTTCAGCGAGCTTCCGGCGGCATGGTAGCAACAGCGGAGGAGCGACAGGCGCAGATTGATAAGAACAGAGCGCTCAAGAAGCAGCTTCAGACGACTCACTACGAGATCGGCACAGATGATGACTACATGTAGGAAATAGATAAGATATGGGGCCAGGAGATGTCGCAAAATTATTGAATACGGTGAGTAGTGCACGACTTGTTGAATGTGTGTGTGTGTGAATTGTTGCAATTTCGTCTATCTATTCTGGACGTCAGACTACACCTTTCGGCATACATGAACGCGCCACGCGGGGCTACATGAAGGAAGGCAACAAGAAAAAGATTGTTGCGATCTACTGTGTTTTCGACAACCTTCCTTTCGCGATGCTTGCCGTAACTATTTTATCACGAAAGGAATCGCCAGTCCCTTTCCCTAGTCGACCGCGGAGCCGAACGTCGTGCACCTACGAAATAAACGCCCTGGGAGGGGGTGGCGTTAGCAATGAATGTCGGAGAACACGGGTATGGCTATGCTTGAGACATTGCGCGGGATGCCCCCCAGCACATGAGGAGTACCCCCCTTCCGGCCATTGCATGCAAAAAACTTTCGCCTCGCCACCCCCATCTTCAGACCGTAGCACGTTTGCGTATGGACGTTGGCGTAAAAGTCGTTGCCGATTGCAACTCACCGAGAGCTTGGTTTTGCCAAATGTCGCAGGCCGGGGCTGGATGGAGGCATAGGCCACATCCCGTTTGTTCGATGTTGTCCAACGCGAGGGGAATTCACGATATGGAGTTTCTGGTTGTCTTGTTCGCGAACGAAGAGTGAGTTCCGTTAAAGGTCACCTCGTCTGCGATTTCACCTGTTTCAAGTGTAGGCCCCTTCTCTTTTGGACAAGGGTCTGGCCATCCCGCGCAACTATTCTGGCTCGGAAACAGCACTGGTCCATGTCTTAGCACTCTCGGGACTCTCGAAGGTTGTGGAGCCTTTCGCTGGTGGTGTTTGATCGGCCTCCAGTTGTCTCTCCCGATGAAAGTACTCCATCCGAAAAAACATCTCATTTCCTGCAGTGGAACCTGCGCCGATCAGCGATCAACTATGCTCACAACGAACACCCCAATCTGGTGTTTGATTGGCAATTACTCCGTGGACCGGCGTCTTCATTTGCGATTTTTTCCTTGCATGCCGTCTTCCACGTCGTCCAGAAAGATACTGTAGAGATATCCAAACGTTCCAGAGACGTTGGGGTATTCACCTTGTCACGTCCGAAGAAATCAATACAACAACACCCGTCACACCCAAAAGAAACGATAACACAGCACCCGTCATATCGAAAGGAAACAACAAACAGTATCCACGCGAGCCCCGCCGTGTCTACATCCAGGGAGTAAACATATAACATTTTCTTCCGGTCTACTGAGACAAAAACACACACCCGTCATCATGTCTGCCCCATATCTCTTACGTGCTGCCAGGGTTTGGCACAGCAACTGTTGTTCGCCGCGATGGCGATACAGAGAAGCCCGATGTATTTAGCAGTGCTGGATGTCGACCGTTGCTTTTGGCATCGACATGTGCCTTGTTTTCCATCCGCACCGTAGAGCCTAAATCACGCTCCCTCGGGGTCACGTCACCCCTCCCAAAACATCCAGCCCATGCATCATTGCCCACGCTATCACTCCTAGACCTCTACGTAGTCAGCGCTCGACGAGCGATCGTCGCTCGCCGCGACCCTGGCCGCCGCAGCCCTCGATCCGAGGAGCGGTGCTTGGAGAGAGGCGAGCGCCGCCGGGCTTGGTAACCCCGAGGAAGCTTCCCCCGCGCCCTCCAAGCTCGAGGGAGCCCCGGAACCCGCGCGAGTTCTTCGTGCCTCCGGGTCAGGGGGGCTGAGGGGAGACGAGCAAGCAGGACACATGGGGTACGGCGCCGGGGGTGGGGGGGACGACGATTTTTGAGGTTACAAGGCCACTTCACTCGAGGTTCGCTTGGTTGTCCGTGGTGTGGAATCACCGGGAAACACAGGGGGTGTGAGTTCGTGAGGTAACGCATCGGTTGTTAACGTAAGCCGTTCCACAATACGCAACGATCGAAAACGAGGATGATCCCGTGAACAGACGCCACGCAACAGGAGACGCCCAGCGCGCATTTGCGCCGCCACCCATTTACCCGCGGATTCGAGGAGGCCAAAGACTTGGCCGCCAGAGCGCGACGTTCCAGGCCTTCTTTTTCCCTCCTCGTCAGGGGACGACCCTCGGTGTTGTTGCCGATGAGGCCGTCGAGTTGGAACCAGCCGTTCGCGTTCCGGTCTGATGCCGCGAGCGCCGCCGCATCAGCCGCGGCGTCGGCAGGCACTATCACCGGCCCCTCCGCCGCCACGCCGTTTTCCAGTCCGAGGGTGTGCTCCTCATCGTTCAACGCCCTCTCCGAGTACTCGGCCTCTTTCCTAGCCTCGGCCGCCGGCTTTCCCGCCGACCCGTCCACCGCCACCCCCGCTGCCGGCAAGGGCGAAGGTATCCTCTGCTCCCCAAAGCTGCTATCGTTGTCACTGACTACTAAGCCTCCACCTCCGACGGCGCCGGCGCCGGGCTTGTGTCGCGCTTCCGGGAAAGGCGTTTCGGTCGCGTCCCCTCCTCCTTGGACCACAATAACGCCTCGAGACACGGAGCGACCGCCGGAGTCTGCGGTTCCTTCCCGGGTCGTTCCACGCTTGCGCCGCCGCGACGCCTCTACCGCACTGTCGCGCGGACTGGTTGATTTTTTTTGTTGTAAATGGAGAACACGCGCCGGTTCTTGTATCTTTCAGATGGCGCTAGAAAAACAATGGTAGCTTGCGACGACCATCTCCGGTCCACACCCCCTCTCTTCTTCACTTTCCAGTGCAAGAAGTTATATCAGGTAAAAGAAGTAGCACCATTCTCAAACACGGCCAACAACGCATTCGCGAACTACTCATAGTTTGTCTTCCGCTGAGATTCACCTGCAATCGCTGGGTTCCACCGAGGGAGACGTGAGCGCCAGCTGCGCGTACAGGAGAGGCTCGAACTCGTCTGGGTTGACCCCGTCGTCCTCATCGCCCTCCTCATCGTCGCCATCCTGCCTGCCACTGTCCTCCCAGTGCCTCCTCCTGCGGCCCTCGGCGGCAGCCTTGACCGCCGCGGCCATGGCCGACGCTCCTCGCCTGTCGATCCTCGCAGCGGTCTCCATCGAGATGCTTTCAGCGGGGCCGAGATACCTGGAGAGGATCGCGGGGCGGGTGAATAACGCATGGCGTAGTCGTTAGCCCGTTGACCTCGCACCCCTACAATGCCGGGTTGTTTCGCCGGCCCAGCTACGCTCCGCAAGGATGAAGCAGGGAGGGGTATTGCTGGCATGACTGACCCCTGCGCCTAGGGTTGTGTAAAAGAAAGGTAAACCCACGTCATGACACACAAGTTTGCGACGCTGCTACTGAAAACATCGGCACTGGCCGTGGTTGAAAAACATCGAGACGCTCCTGGTTGGGAGAACAGCAGCGTAGCCTGATAGCCCCACCTGGGTGCCTCATGCCGTCAAATTGCTGTGTCACGACATAAACTATTACGTGCACTCGTGACACTCATTGGAGGGAGGTGGACCGCTGTTTCGTAACAACAGCACCTTCAGGGCCATGAATGTTCTCAAGGTGGTTGAGAGCACCAAACTTGGGGGTTGTATATTGCCGGGTGTATAGCAGCGTCCGTACCATTAGCAACGATTTAGGCAAAGTGACCAAAGAGTACCCTGCAGAACAGGTTTTCGAACAGGGGGATGGCGTGTTCTATCCTGTTCCTCTCACCTTTTGAAGCTCCTGTAGCCGTACCAGTAAATGAACACTGGCAGCGGTAAGATCAGCGAGGCTTGGGTGAACCCCGCTCGGACGTAGACGTACCCCGCTAGCGTAAGCTGAGCAAGTGCCAGTCCAATGAGCACTCGCGGGTAAACGCTGGGGGACAAGTTGCGTCGGGGAAAAAAGGGTGGCGACGGCACATTGTGATTTCAACGCCACACGTACAGCAAGACGAGATAATTTCGTGTGTGTCCAAAGCCGAAGGGCTGGTCGGCTCACAGCACAACCGTAGCGTAGGGGACACGACATAAGATACCACACCGAGTGGACCGATTTTCAAAGGTCGACTACTCCGCGACGAAGAGGATTCTAAATCAAAACAAAGCGTTTCCGGAAAGCTCCTTGATGAGACGGTTCCAACGCCGTCATTCTTGGCACTGCCATCGATTGTGCTCCAAATAAATTTGGCTGTGATTCTCAATTCAGGGGGTGCTGTATCATACGCAACGTACGGTGCACGCCTCGCGCCGCAGGCACGTGTCACACACACGCATGGACGAAGACTGCGCGAACGCGAACGAAGGCTGGCGCGACACGAAAATACGCGAAAAGGTTGTTTGCCCGGGAACAACGCCGAATCAGAACGTCGGCCGGGTGAGGTCTGTGACTGAACGAGAGAAGACCTTACGAGGGATAATACAACTGTGTGCGAGCGATACATCCACTCAACGGCGCTGCTACAAGAGTGCCGGGAAAAGGGATGAGGTTCGAGCCCGCACAAGATCGACACCTCAACAGAGACAATACCCCACCACACGCCAACACACCGTAGAACATGTGCGGTAGCCGCATGGACAACCCCTTCGTCAACACGCCATGACCAAAGTCTCGAACCTCCCTGGGACAAAGGGTAACAGTTAGGTATGCGGGCAAGCAGCACGGCTCACCATGACCACCACCACCACCACCACCACCACCACCACCAAATGTTGATCGCGGTAAGAAAAACACAAAAGGCTGGGCATGCATCCATTCGCATCGCCACAAAGACTGCTGCCAAGCGTTTTGGCGATCGGGAATTTCACGCAGGTCCAAAAATGTAATAGTCTACGTCACGCATCGGAATTCAGGCGTGAAATGCACGAGAAGCTTCCACCAAACGAGACACAGACCTGAACCAGAAGACTCCGCCGCTCTCGTACTTGGGAACGTACACGTACAGGGCCTGCCAGGCAGAGCGACCAAAGGAGGCGATGACCAGGGGCGCGGGGGGAGGGAGGAGGTGGACAGGACACAAAACAAATCACTTTACCAGCTAGGCATCAAATATCAACAAATAGCAAGACAGCCGCAGAACGACTTTTGTACTCACGTCTCAAAGGATTGGGCTCGAACACAGATAATCGCCGCCCTCGAACGGAAACAACCGCAACACAAAAAATTAGCCACCCAAAATCCACCGCCGCTCTTCAAAATAGACTCTCCGTGCCGGGCCGTCTTTCTTTTGAGTTCCGGTCGGTGGTAGAACGAGGCGAGCGGAAAACTAATGGCCTCTGTTTGGCGCGATGCGCATAACACGCTCGCGCTTACACACAGGACGATGCGATCTTCTTTTTTACTTGAACACACAAATGGTGATGTTGGTGAGTTGGCCAACTTCCACAACACGAAAAAAAAGGAAAAAATTAATTCTCCTCGACGACCCCCACCGCCTTGTGTTTGCCCGGTCGTTGGAGGCAAACGTACCTGGTACTTGTAGACAAGGTAGGCCAAGGCGAAGAAAAGAGCGCCCGCGGGCATGATGAAGGGGCTGATCACAGCGTAGACGAAGCAGACCACAAGCACCAGTAGGAGGGTCGGGTACACCTGAGGTGTGGTCGAAATTAGGACATTATCGGCAAAAAATAAATAAATTTAATAATAACATAATAGTGTTGGCGCATAGGGGTGCGTAGACTGTGCCGGCAAAAACGTGGCTCGAGAGCGGGGGGCGAGCTGACACAGAGAGAGAAATCAAGAGAAGAAAAAAAGAGGGCAGGGGTGACACGTGATTGGTCATCAAGGTATGAAGATTGCAAACGAATCGCAAACCATGAGGTGCCAAGACTGGAGGCAAACGCGGCAACGAAAAACAAAACAAGAAAATGCCATAGAGGGACGAAGAACCGGGGGGCACTGCCAGGCTCCCAATGGCGGTACAATGGAGCGGGAACACGTCCAACCATCCTACAGCTTACGGGGGGGACTGACGAAAGCCAGGTTAGGTGGGACTCGAAATCCGACGACTAGAAAGACCCCACAACGGACGGCAAAGAACCTATGACAGCGAAACCGATAGGTATCACCCGACGGGTGCGGAGTACGCGAACACGGAATATCTGTGCGTCCGGGTCGCTCCAAAACGTCTCAACATACAACTCCGGCCGGAATATACGTTTTTTATCGAACGACGGTCCGCCATGATCTTACCCATCCATACAAGAGCTCCGCCGGGCCGAAGGGACCAGTTCTGCGACGCACCATCAACAACGAAACGAGCATGAAAACCACGACAAGAGCATGTTCAGACGCGGGTCGACGGCATGACTGGGTTAAAATCGGACAGGTTTTCGGCACTTCGAGGCTACGTAGGCGGACTCCTTTGAGCGCGCGCGATGGCGATGGGTAGGCGTGTGCGTGTACGAAAAAATTGCAATTACTTTTTCGTCTCAACTTGCAGTTGGCATCCTTACACTGTGAATCAAGTAATCCTCGCACAAGAGTTCCGTAGGCAACGAGCGGCGGCTTCACGGCCGTGGCACACCACGATGCTTCCCATCAACAACAAACAACATCGACAGTGAGCATCTTCCACGGGCCAAGACTTTCGATGGCTTGTGTGTTCGGGTCGCTCCCTTGACTTGCATACCGCTCTCAGGCGGATGACGCAGGGTACACGAGTTTCGACGTGTGACTCTCTATATCACGCTCGAGCCGTTACCCGGCACGGGCCATCGGGGTGTGTAGTGCTAGCGGGTTCACGGTCTACTGTCGGCGGGTCCGTTTGGGGTAATTCCGAACGTGAAGAACAAATGCTGCTGGGAGCGTTTCCTGTTGCTTTCGCTCTCGCTTCGGTCTGTATGCCCTGCACTACGCGGGGTAGACGCGTGTTGCCAAGCAACCCTTCTTCACCATGTGAGACAACCAAACACACGCATTAGTGATCCCCGCTACATCCGGAAAGTCGTCAAAAGCGGCTTCAAGTCCCGTTGCTTGGCATTTCTTTGGGTCTCCAGCGGATGCTTGTGCGTGGACCGGAAGATTCCAAACGCGTCAAACCCACTACTGGCAAGATTTAACCGTTCCAAATTTGGATTATTTTTCTTGTATATTCGGATCCTGTGTGGTTGCGTCGAGTTACCTTACCTGATCTCTCTCTCCGTGGCAAAGTCCCGGTTGGTGCATCGCTGCGACCACAGCACCCGAATCAGAGGCCACCCTCGAAGGAGCTGGGGGGAAAAAACGTGAACGACATCAACCCAAGGGGGAAGGCTAGGGTCATGCATCCGCGAGAGGAAGAAGTATGAAATCTCAGGTGGTCTGATAATACATATACCGTCCTTGTGCCGGCTATGTTCAAAGCCTGTCGACCAGACTTCTCCCGTTCGAAATGAACCAGGTCGACCCGTCAAAAGAGCATGTTTTCTGGTTCGCACCACGGTTCGCCAACTCTATGTTTCCGTTAGACCGGGCAAACCCGCGAAAAAAAAGCTGTTTTGGCCCCAAGGGCGTTTTACCGCCGCTAGACAATTTGGTCGCCTGCATTCCTCTCGGGCATTCGCGTCCGCTCTCGAAAAAATCGCCTCTGCTGCCGACTCCCGCTTTCAGCGCCACAACTCTACGTGAAAAATAAGAGACAAGAGGACGCTGCCCCCCCGCCCCCCTACCTCCGCGTTCGAAGAACAAAAAAAAAAGAACGGCTTCCCACTTAGCACGAGAACAAAGACAGGAGTAGTAATCGCACGCAGTCCATAAAGGTACCGGGAGTGGAATACAGGCAAATAAGAGTAAAAAAAACAAAATACATGGGGGTGTTGATGCACGCCGGCCTGTCTTTCATGGATGCCCCACAAAATCGGAGGAGCAAAGTTTGCGGCGGCGCACGGCGGAACAATTCGACCGCCAGTCGCATCGGAACGTTCCCTGGCTGGTGCTTTCCAACTCGCCCCTTGTCACCTCAAACGGTAGCCCGACGAAAATCTTGACGACGATCACATCCAAGAAGTACACCGCCACGGCGGGGAAAGTCTCGCCGAGGATGTTCAGCACCTGGTTTACAGACGAGATCGATTGGGTTGGCTATTTATGCTAAGACAGAAGTGCTGTGGTTTTGTCGTTGTTAACCTTGGGCGTTGTGTGAATTAAGTGGGGATTGCTTGTTCTCTGCTTATGTCATTCGGGGTTTTATCTCCCGCAAACGTGTCAAGTTTCCCCACCTCTTCAAAGGCTCTCTAACCCGATGATGCAAAAGCAACATGTCCTTGGCAACAAACACGCGGAGAAGTTGTAGCTACGGAGTGTCTCCAACTTCTTGCCCGCCCAACCAATCGATTCGTCGGGGTTTGGTCGATGCACAAGGGGTTTCGTGACGTCAAAGCAGAGGACTCTCACCGAGGCGGGGTCGTCGAGGATCTCCTGGAGGGCCGAGATGATGGATCCGGACGCTACGGTAACGTAGATGTTCGCAACCTGTTCATCGGCGGCGACACACGCACAACACACAAAAAGACCAAAGGAGCGAGAGGTCAGCCGTTTAGACGCTCACGGGAAAACGTTGAAGGAATGGGACGGAAAGGAGTTGTTTCAAATCTTCAATAATGTTTTCACCGACAAATAGCACAAGGGACGAGCGTGACCACCGGTTACGGGTTGGGAGGCAGGAGGCTAAGAGAGCAACCCTGGTGCGGCGTGCGCGCGGACGAATCTAACAACAACAGATGTCCAATCGACATACGCACGGCTGGTCTAGACAATTCCTCTTTTCGCTCTCGAGGCTGACTCGGACAACAACAACAACAACGAGGAGGGGATCAAACCTCTTCAAGGAATGACAAACGAATCCGATTCGACAGATGCCACTCGCGACAGCGACAGCGGCGGCGGAGGCTGGACCCGTCGATGCGTTATACCTGATACGTGAAGTAGCGCGTCAGAATCGACTGCTGCACCTCGCTGTGAGACTTGCGACGCTCGTACCGGTAGGCCAAGGCCTGCTCCCGAAAGAGACGTGGCGCCAAGGGGTAGCGGCACGCGGACGGCAAATCGGAAGAACAAGGTAGTATTAATAATAGGGTTGGTTTGGCGTTAAGTTGCGGGCGACGACCATGCGAGAGGCAGTTCCTGAGCTTCAGTCCTATTTAAATTGCTCACGTTTGGCGCAGCACGTCACCAAACTGGGCTCTACCGTGAAGCTGGCGACCACTCACGTATCGGTTAGTAGTGAACAACGAGGTCAGAACACAAGCTTCTTTGTTCTTTCTAAGAAGCGATACGGGGAGGGCGGTGTGCTGATGGGGGGGGTGGGGGGGGTGGGGGGGTGGGGGTACTCATGGCCGTGCATGCCATACAGTCAATAGACCATTGGGGGGGTGAACTTCGTAGGAACATATGGCCGGAAGGGTAAGTGCGCCGATGGGCAGTCGAATCGGTGGCTTTCCCCCGCGGAAGCAACGCCAACAAAGAGCAAGCAGTAACGACGAACAGCACTTATCTACCCGACTTTCATTTCGTGAAACCCCGACGGCGTTCCGTACACAGCGGCCACCTGGAAAAGGAACGGTAGCAAAAGCATCAGCAGCAGCAGGAGGACGACCGGAAGATAGCCCGCAATCACGTAGTACAGGAAGCTGCCTCGGCAAGAACGGACAGAAATAGACAAATCACGTCAGCGTGCGCGACAGCGAGGATGAAAACAAAAACGTTGACGACAGCTCAGTACGAAGACCACAATAAGCATGGAAGGGAGAGGTGGGGTTAAACAAGACTTAACTCGCAAAATCATAGACGAAAGAGGTGCAGGTGGAAAAGCCAGACATCGCCGTGTGGCGGCGCGATGCTTGCAAACGTTGGCCATACGAGAGACTGAAGGTTCGTCCGCGTTTGGATGAACCCCTTCCTCAACATACACCGTTGAGCTCCTGCCCGCCATAGCTGGCACTTTCTTTACTTTTGTGTGCGACCCCACCAATGAATGTACCGAGAAGCTGAAAGAGACAAGTGGGAGGGTGGCCGAGACAAAAACACACCAAGCACGAACCGCACAAGGGGTCTACAAACACAAAACGTCCGCACGATGTGAAAACAAAACCATCACCAGCACAACAAACATCGCCAACAACAACGACGGCAATCTCAAGTCGCTTGACAGGCGCGCTAACTAGTTGCGCGAGTACTGCTGCGAGATCGGAGCAGCTCGGTGCACAACACGCGGCAATTTCGGGAGCGATACCGGAGTCATGTTTGGTCGCGTGCCGGGTACACACCGCTACATCGCTTGTGGTGGGGCGTGAATTGGGGATACTTGGGGCCGCAAACGCACCTGTCCGGGTCAAGGTCGGCCAGTACCGGGAAGATCTTCTCGAGCTCGCTGTAAGATGCCCAGAGCTACACCGCACAAGGGGGAGACAGACAGACAGACACAGACAGACAGACAGACAGACAGACAGACAAACAGACAGACAGACAGACAGACAGACAGACAGACAGACAGACAGACAGACAGACAGGCAATCAGAGAGAGAGACAGAGAGACAGAGGTGACGCCAACAGAGGGGAACGGAAAGGAGGGGGGGGGGGGGGGGGCAAGACGAACAGTCAGCTAGTTGGGTGTAGAGACGTAGGAGGGAATCCCGAGACAGCGAAGCATGTATAGGCAATGAAGAGCGGCAGCAGAGTAATTGCTATAAAAATAGTTGGTCGCGGAGAAGAGGAAGATGGCCAACGAGAGGCACAGGGGTAAGAAACCAGCAGTGCACCGGCAAAGAGTAAAACGATGCCTTGGAAAGAGGACAAGAGAGGCGGAACCGAGCCGCCTTGGAGTGTCCCGCACAGATCGCAAACCAGCAAAAGGAACAGAGGGAACGGTGGGTGGGGTCTGGAGTGTCGAGAAAACTGCAGTCATGACGACAACGAAAACAACAACAACAACAACAACAACAACAACAACAACAACAACAACAACAACCACGACAACACCTCTACAACGACGCGAACACCTCCCCACACCACCAACAAAAACACCAATACCAATACCAACACCAACACCAACACCAACACCAATAACCCACACCACCAATAAAAACACCAATACCAATACCAACACCAACACCAACACCAACACCAATAACGACGACGACGACGACCAAGGAAAACAAAAAATCACACAACATATCGCACAACGACACTACACCCCCCCATACACACACCACCAACAACAACAAGGACAACAGTGACAGGAAGACGGACCGCACTTGGATAAGCAGGACCGGGAAAGACCAGAAGATGGCCCCCGCGGCCACCAACCAGGCAGCCACGTTCTGTCTCAGGTCGTTCTGAGAGAAGAGGAAGCAGGGCGGGAGGGACGGGGGGATTGGCCGACTAATTACAGCCTCGTGTCTTGAACGGGAAAAGGCAACGGATGATCAACAAGCAAACAGACGAGTTCAGGGCGATATCCATCTTCCCAAGCATATAGCAGACACGCGGCACTTGACTTGACCAACACGAAGAGTGTTCAAGGTCACGTGCGAAGTGCGAAATTTCGTATTTTCCATGCCTGGGTATGTGTTAGGGGGGGTTGATGACATGTCCATCCATGGTGCTAATCCCCCGCTTTCAAGGACGATCACACCGCTAGTGGGGGACGGCCAAACACTGCTGTTTGGTACAAGCACCGCTTGTAAAGGGAGGTGTTTGGTTCACTCTTTTCTCATCAAACGCGACATCGAAAGACATTCACAGACAACATCTACGACAGAACACCGCCAACACCTAACAAACGTGTAGATTGACAACAGCAACAGCAAAATGGTGACAGCAGCAATACAACCAAAGCACAATAAATACACAGAAACAATACTTTTCGAATTACATCGACTAGAACGACAACAGCAACAGCAACAGGTGACAGCAGCCGCGACACCAACACCGCAAACAACGAGAACAGCAATAATAACTTCGTGCCTGGGGTTGGGGCACCGCGATGTTCTTCCACACCACGTCTCGCGGGTCCGGCGCAGGCTCGCAGTCGCACCAGTCTGGCCGAGGCGCCAGCAGCACCTGTTTTGACCCGGGGCGATGTTTGGTACCAGGTAGGTCGGGCGGCGTCGGCAGGCACGTAAAAAGGACGCGGTGGGAGAGCCGAAGAAGAGAGAGGGAGAGCGGACAGAGATAAAAAGCGGTACGGCAGCGACGGAACACAAAGGGCCAGAGACAGACATACAGACGGTCAGCAGTTCGGCAAATAGACAGAGAGAGGGGGGGGAGGGGGGGGGGGGGCGTACTCGTTCGTTTTGCATATGCTTAGCGGTTAAACCATTGACCACGCGTCCTCGAGAGGACGAAGCATTGTTCCCACAGGACCGATCACGGATGGCCAATCGTTCCTTCCTACTTTGCCGAAGGTGGCTCAACAATGTCTTCCCTAGTCTATCTATGGGGGCGGCATTGTAAATAGGTATGCAAGCGGCAGCGACCACATAAATTCAAATGTATCATATCCACTCCTCACCTCCCTGTTATGCAACACCCGATGCTGTCGCAGCAACTTACACCCACTCCTTTTCTTCGCACCCGCTATACCCTACCACCCAACCCCCACCAACACGCAGAATACACACACCACCGTCCCCCCTTCCCTATCCCTCACCTGTCTAGAAGCCGCGCAAGCCGCCATTTGCCGGAAGGTGACGAAGCCGGTGGTACTCATGCGCTGGCCTAGGGTGAGGTACAGGACACCGCGAGCGACCCTCCTGGTGGTGTTGAAGGCGGAGTTGCCCACGGACGCGAGGGAAGACAGCGCTTCCTGCGGGGAAGGGAAGGGAGGGAGGAGAACAGAAGGATGGGAGAGAGAGAGAAGAGAGAAGGGAAAATATGGGAAATGGGAAAAAGCGTGGAATAACCCGGAGGGGGTAGCCGCAACCAGAATGAGATAACACTTACACACCTGAACAGGACTGCAAGACCGGCTCTAGGGGCACGCAGTAGACATTGTATGTCGAATCCTTGGCCCCATGTTCTCATCTACAACGTAGTCCGCCGCGGAAAAAACAGATGTCTCTGTTGTTGCAGTTTTCACCCCGACAAAACCTCACGCGGGCATAGCTGGGCAGACTCCTCTGCCACACGAGCATGATGACTACCACGCACAGCACCAATGCTCCTTCCGCAAGAGCATCCTCTTCCTCCTCTACCCTCCACGCCCCATCTCCTGCCCACCAGGCCATCATCACGGCCGCAGCAAGTCCCATCTAGGCTTTAAAAAGGCCTCACCATCGTCTACTCTTGCAGTCTATCCGGTCCTACGCATATCAACACTAACGAATTCCCATCTAGGCCTTGACCATCACCTACTGTCTGTCTGGTCCTACGCATATCAACACCAATGCATTCCCATCTAGGCCTTCACCATCGTCTACCGTTGCAGTCTATCCGGTCCTACGTATACCAACACTAATGCATACCCCCCCGGCGAAGGGGGTGCCGCCACACCTTCGCCATGTCAGGAGCGGCCTCGATCAGGCCCGCCGCCCCGCCGGCAAGCGGCTGGTCCGTGTCCAAGGCGGACGTGACTCCGGGGCGAGGGCCGGGCTTAAGCTCGTCGCCGCCGGAGCTCGGAGAACGGTTCTTGGAACGTCTCCTCCTCGCCTCCAGCTCCTCTTCGATGCCGCTTGCTGATTCGGCGGCGCCCCCCCCCTCGACGTCCAGGCTCGACGACCCCGTCCGCCCTGGCAGCGATGCATGCAAAAGGGGCGAGTACGGGGACCACGCAGAATGGAGTAGGTTCGTGTGAGCCCCCCCCCCCCCCTCCTGACAAGTAACAACGAAGCGAGGACCCGTTTTCCGACTCGCGTGGGAAAAAGGAGCGTGTTTTTGTCACCCGCCCTTGCCTTTGAACTCTCCTACAGAAGCAACATGAAGAAAGGGAATAACGAAATGGCAACAACAACAGCAGCAGCAGCAACAACAGATACAGAGGCCCTACGACGACCAAGACGACGACAAAAACTTCCACTTCTACCGCTGTCGTTCCGCGGAAAAAACACAAAAACGGCTGCAAAGGAAACACGCACCCTCGTCGACCCTTCGCGAGGAAGGCGACACGTCCGAAACGTCGTCCACTTCCTGCATGGCCCACTGAGACTCTTTCTGCGACTTGGCCCTTAAGAAAAAGTCGATCTGATCCACAGACGCCGCCTTGCTCTCCTGTTTTTGTTTGTTTTTTTGTCATGACAAGGTGTTAGAAAAACAATCAAACAACAAAATATACACAAAAACATACAAGACTCAGGAAATTATGCAAGAAGACGAAAACTTGTACACCACCCTCTTCGGCTGTTCGGTCTTGCGAGAAGAGGAATAGAACTTCGCAGCAATTAGCTCGAGAGCTTTGGCGCTTTTGACGAGACCCTTTTGGTACTTCTCTCACCAATGGAGATTCATAGTCCTTTACTCTGTAAACATCTGAGCTACAACCCAAACCAATTATCTTTTTAGTCGGGCGTGAACCAACGGCCTTCATGGCTAGAAGCCACAACAAACACATATCAAGCACCAATCGGTATTTAACCTTCCCCGTTGGTAGGAACACGACACTCGGCGGTGCCTCTAGCTTGTACCTCCCCCCCCAACGCACCCCCGCCCTCCTGCTTGCAACACGGTCATGATTATTTACGGTGTCTCACACTTTTATTGCTGTTATAGTGTGCACGAAAAGGTTTCCTCACTAAAGCTTGTCTGCTCATTTGTTTAGTAAAGAGCGTGTCGCATCGTCTCACTACCAGGTTTAATGAGGGAGTGTACTCAGTATTGCAGGCCATAGTTATTAGACCATTGACCACACGCCCTCGAGAGGACAAGAGGAACGGCGGGGGGGGGGGGGGGGGGGGGGCCCCAAACCGGGAAGCCCCAATTTATCCTTTAAACCATTTACCCCCCTCTCTTCCAAACCCGGGGGGGAAATGGCCGAATTTTTCCGGGGGGGGGGGGAACCCCTTTTTTTTTCTGGCCTTACCGGGAAAA